GGAAGACAGGATTCGATGTTGCTGATGATTTTGCAGATGGAAGACAGGATTCGAAGTCGCTGCTGATGATGTTTTATATGACGAATTACCAGGGACGCCACATGGTATCTTGAGCTGGCTTGGGGCTGGCGGCAGATTCAGAATCCTCGGCATCGCTGTGATATCCCGAGGAGGCGGGGCTGAGTGGGCGTTGGGCGGTAATCGGGGTAGTGGGTTGAACCTGATCGGCCTGCAGCATGCGCTGGAACTCCACCCCCAAATGTGTCATCACCGTCTTGCCCACATTAACACTCATGGCCGGAGTGCAGGCCATCACACGGGAGATTTCGCTGACGGCGTTCATGTAGCCATTCTTGAAGCTATCCATCGGGAGTGGGGAAACTGGCGCCTGCTGCTCGACGACCTGTTTGCGCATGAAGACAAGTGCCGCCTCCAACATCTCGGCCTTGTCCATTCGCAGGATGGCATCGTCGCCCTGGAACTCGGCCACCAGTGTCTTCAATGTGTCCAAACACTTGTTCATGCGGGCCCGCCGCTGGCGCTCCAAAAGGGGCTTCTTCACCTTCAAATAGTGCTGGGTCTTCGAGACGAAAGTGGACTGGTTGCTGGTCTGTGGGGCCATTTTGTAGTTTATTTTATGTGAGTTCTGTAGTAGTGAGCTGAGCTGAACTGTACTGTTTGCAGGATGCTGCTCGAATGATGCTGGATTCCTCGACTGCACCGGCTTTTATACCCTCAGCAGCCGCAGCAGTGAAGAGAAGGTCCTTTCTGGAGGACCTGCTACCTGCGTACCCACAGTAGAGATCTGTAAATCTTATTGCTGTGCGTGCGTGGGAAAGGAAACTGAAATCGTTGTGCAAAGAATGAGTTTTCATATTGCTTTTCTTTGGGTTCCTTTTTGCGTTTTATTCCTTTCAATTGTCTAGCCAAGGAGTGTGGGTCCTGGCGACGCTTTGTAACTGCAATTAAACCGTAAAATGCTGGCCAAGACGTGAGAACGTGGTACACGGAATTGGTCCCAATTGTCTGCGACAAACTGATTCGGTTTGGGCCAGCAAATGAAAATCAAACTCGGTAAAATTGTAATTGTCATGTTGTGGCTTACTGATCTTAGGCTTTTTGAGAGGAAAGTGGGAGGATCATTTAGACCCTTTATAGGATCATTGCCAGTAGGCAAGGATCTATGGGTCGTAATGTTTTTTATATTAATCCTTAATTTCTCAAATCACTTATTTTATTACCTTTATTGAACTAAGTAACCCCAAAATAAACATCTAGTTTAATAATACCAATAAATTTAATTATTTTTATCATTTTACTTATAAAAAATGATTATTTTGATCAATTGAAAACAAGCTAGCATGAGTACCACAAATTTGAGAATATACAGTACTTAAATCCTATAATTGCATTGAAGTAATTTTAATATCCAATTTATTACAAACAAGCACTTAAATACATTTTCTAGTCAGGTTTTTTGGGACCCCTAACTAATCACTTGCTTCCCCATAAATCTTGGACCAATGCTAGGTGCCATCAACCCTTAATGCAAACCCCAATCCTTATCCCAGATCCAATTCGAATCCCGAGAAAGTGGCAGTCACCGTTGTTGAGGTCTTGAGGGGTCTTTCGGTTTGTTTTGCTCGATTTTCATATCGTGAGAACCGCTCGAGACGCGTCGTGTGTTTCCCACGCGATGTGCACACCTGCCATTTAAGACGCTTATATGGTTACGATTACAGGCACGGATACACGGAAAGAAACCGAGACACAGATACTCCATACAGACAACCACTTGGCTGTAAATACACAGAAGCAACAAAAACCAGATGAGGGCACACATTTATCTGTCGGCACACATTTATTGCGCCGGCGCGACGCTTATTATCAGCCCAAGTAGCGATCGTCGTGTGACTGACTGCCGACTGCCTGATGGACTGACGGATTGACTAACTGCTCGACTAACTGACGGATTGACTAACTGCCCGACTGACTGACGGACGTTCCGACTGATTACTGCCTGCTTTACTTTAGTTTTTCACTCTTGTCGCCGTCATTGACGATTGTTTAATTTAAATTGCCGGCTACCAGTCGGCGGGCTTAATGATTATAGCCAGGCCGTCAGAGTTTCCAAGTTCCAAGGAACTTGTACGCAATAGTTATTTGTACTTTACGACATGGGCTAATTGAACGAACGCACCCGCAGAAGAAGTTTAACGAGCCGTCTGTCATTGATTGGAGTGGAGTCTCGGAGTCGGGGAATCCGAGGACCCAGCTTGTCAATGGGCAATCAAATCATTAATGTCTCCAAGGTGAGTGAGAATCCCCAGTAGCCAACTGACAGCCACTGGATGGATTTCAATGATCCAATCCTTTGAGGGATTTATGCCCGACCACCAGTTGGTTTGTCAGGTAAATGTCGCTGGCAAATGTTTGCACAGCCATAAATTAGCCAGACGATAAGTGGACAATTGTTGAGAGACATAAGCACTGAGCCCACAATCCGTGGGATGCTTAGAATAACTCAGAGTTAGCTTCGAAAAGAATGGTCACTTCCTGGTGTTAATGCCATTGTTCTGGCCTTAAAATGTACATCCATGGGAAAAATAGCCGAGAAGTTGATGGGAGAGCGAACATCTTTTTTACTTTCGTTTTTTCTCATTTAATTTTTTCTCTTATTTATGAGATTAAATATTTTAAATTAAGGCGGTGTTTATAAGTATTTAGTTTATTTTTCTGATATAAAAACAAAGATAATTTTGTATTGATACACACAACAAATATTTTTAAATTGAACTTATTTTACATTACCATTTTTGTATAAAACTGTATATTAAAAATAATTAAATTGAACAAATTTGCTTGTGTTTAGGCATGATCTTTAAATTCTTATTGTAATTGCCTTATCTTGAGGTAATAAACTGTACATAAGATTTCCAAATATACAGTCTGGAAATATGACACATTTTTGATTTTAATTTTTGTATTTTTTTTTATGTTTAATAATTTTGATTTTAGTGATTTGTGTAAATATACCAAACAATATTTAAAAACGTTATGACTAAAATAATTTTAAAATTATTAGGGAAAATAATAGAAGATGGTTATTTGAAAGTTTTGTGTTAAGTTGTTTGTGGTATTTAATATATGTTGTGGTTTTTATGATTTGGTTGGGTGCCTACCAATTGGACTTGTGGTTATGGGTACCATTTATTTTTCAATTTCCTGTTTTGCTTAAACCCAAGTTTTATTAAAGGTGCCTGTTTGTTGGGCTGGGGTTCCTCAGGGACTGTTGTTCAACCATTTTTGGGTGTGAGAATGGTTGGGTTTTCTGAACCCATATTGGCTTTTTGTGTTTGTGGGTTGGTGGGTGGATTTTCTATGTATTGAAACCCGACTGGGGCATCCCACCATGGTTTGCTGTTTAGGCTTTAATAGAGGACTTTGGATCGTGGGGGTTTTTGGGGCCACTGTGGTTCCCATCGATAAATCATCTTGGTTTGTCCGACCACAAATTTTTAATTGGGGCAATATGCGTGTCGTTTTTTGTGGGTTGGTCCTTGGGTTGGGTTTTAGATCGGCTCAGCCTTTTTTGGTTGTTGTCGGGATTTGATATGTTTCAGGTATTTTTTTGATTTTTAACAGCCGCCTGTATTCCTGTGGGCTTTTTTGTGATGATCGCCGTATGCGCCCGCTTAATTTAGACCTTTGGGGTATAGGGCTGGTGGGTTTAGTACTGGGATTTGTGGAAGTAATTTGGTGGCCTTGACCCTTTGTGTTTGGTGGTTATGGGCCTGAACCAGTTTGGGTGCTTATTAAGTTTTACTATGGTTTGCTCAACTGTTTTATTACTGGTTTTTTTTGGCCTATATTTTAAAATTATTTTTAGTTAGTTTGAAATTATTGTTTGGTTTTTTGATATTGATCGCTAAATTAACTTAAAAAAAATCTGTTTTTTATCACCACTTATCTCTCCATATCATTTCAATCCACTCAATCAGCTGAACCATTTAACATTCAAACATAATTGACTCCTCGTAAGCAATCAACATCAAACCCACTTTGTTCGCAGCTCGTGCAAAGGAACAACCCTCATGCGAAACCCACCTCCCAATTCCCGGCCCACAGACAACAAACACTCGAAATTATAAACCCATATAAGTTGAATTAAAAATCTATCTAGACGCCACCGCAAGTGAAAGCACCTTGCTCTGACGAGGATTAAAATATCGGCGGTGTTCCAAACACGTGACTGACCCGCGTCCCAATCAGAGGAGCAGCACTTGTCCTCCGCCACGCGCTTGGCCAACCGCTGAGCTTTCCAGGCCCAAAAGCAAACATCAATCAGGTGGAAAGCGATTGGGAAACAAACGCGTGACCCAACGGCGGGCGAAGCAATTAACCAAAGTTGAACCAACTCGTCGGCAGCAGCAACAACATCAGCAGCAAGTGCAATATGTGTCAAAAGGGGCAACATCATGAGCAACAACAGCAACAGCAACATCAACGGCAACAAGGAACAACCACCACCAAGGCAACGAAATGAGCGGGGCTGTGGCCTAAATTGCAAACAGCTGCCACTCGAACCGTGGGATACTTTTTCCCCTAGCCTCAAAAACATCGAGATATACGCTAAGGATAGGGGAAGGAAGGCCCTTGTGCTGTCGAACCTTATCCATGGGAACCACAACTGCTCAACGCTCTCAATATTTATTCTGTATTGAAACAGAAAAAATGAGGATGGTTGAAAAAAAACAGGGACGACAGGAGTGGGGGAAAAAACGAGATTATCCTGCACGTGTTGAGCTTGCTGCGGTGTTCCTTGCGCTAAAAGCGTGGCAGGCGAACGTTGGGTTGATATTTCAGATGATGATGCTGCTGCTCCTGCGCGGAGTTTGCACATGTGGCGTGCACATGTGGCACTTGTTGTTTTGGGTGGTTGGACTTTTGGGTGGTGGTTGTCTGCCTGGGTTGTCCTATAAAAGCGCGACACTTGCCATCAGCCCACAACAGTTGCAATTTGAAAGCCAACGCGTAAAGAACTCAATTTTAAAAAGTGAATTATACACACCCACCTCAAAACCATGTCGAAAGTTAAGAACTTATTAGCCAAAATGCTGCAGCGTTTTGCCAAAAACAGCTCACATAACGATAGCCAACGGTACGATAGTCTGGAGGAGATTGCCCAGAATCAGGCCAACGAGAGGATGTTGATGGAAACTCAGACGGGAATGGAGGAGCACCTGGTCATCTGCTTGGAGACGGCTGCCGGCAGCTTCTATTGGCATTCACAGTAGCAACGGGAGGAGTACCAGCAACATCACCTGTAACTGCAGCAATCTAAAGAGAAACTCTGCTGAGAACCAAAAATATCAGCTTTAGTAATGGCCGCCATGTCAACAACAGCAATTATAGTAAAGAAAGAAGCAACAACAGTAGTCAATTTATTTGCAACAAGAAAAGCGACAGCAGCAACTCCTCAAAAGATTCAGTAGCAGCAAAACAAACTGCAATTATTATTGCAATGTCAACAGGAGCATCCAGCAACTTAGCCTGCAGCAACACCTCCAAAAGCGATAAGCACAAGAGCAACATTAACAACAATAGCGAACACTAAACTAACCGCAGAAGCAACTTGGCCAATAAAATCTACAATAACTTGTCAAAAAATGAGAATACCAGCCACAAAAACAGTAGCAGTCACATAAACTATAACAATCCATAGCATCTTAAGAAATCAAAGCATCGATGACAACAAAAGGCAGCCACCACAACAATCTTAGGAGAACAGCAGCAACATCAGCCAAAGCAACAACAACATGGGCCAAAAACCGGTAGTTAGATGTGACCAAAACGACTGAATGGATGAATGAATAATACAAAACATATCATTCGGTGAATGAATGGAGCTGCCGAGCGATCGTGCGAATTCAGTTGCGTGCCAGCAACAAGTATCCATATCCAACTAGTCTTAAGGATGCAACTCAGACATCCACTCCAGTTGGAGACCCTCGATACGTGTTAATGATAAAAATAAAATACATTTGTGATATGAACTCAAGCTAGTTAGGTTAGAATAAATGTTATTAGCTTATAATAAATAAAAACATAATGAGAAAATCAATTAAAATTATATCTCTACTATTTGGGTAACTTGATTATTTGTGTTCATAGGAAAAAAAGGCCAATTGGATTCTGATTAATGGGAAAATCACATAGTTGTTGTACACAACCAATCTTTTAGGCCGATTATTAAAAATCACTTACAAATGTCTTGGACAACCTTTAATGATATCTATTGTTAGCTTTATAAAATCACATAAGAAAATTAACTGATTGGTGATTGTCATTGGTAAAAAAAACTCTTTGTTGCGGAAAGTTTTTCAAATTTGGTAAAACCAAACCTAACCGATACCTTGCCTACTTAATCAAACCAACTAATTGGCAAAAAAACTACATTTGTTAGTTTTCTAATAACAATCAAATTTTTCAGATCTTTTCATAATCGTAATACCTGTAAACAATGGTTATCTAATTTGTTTTTGGTATTTCAAAGATCAATGTTTATTAACCAAATTATCAATTATTAAATCCAAAATTATAACACATTTTTAAATTTGACTTTTTACAAAAAAAGGTCACTAAACAAAGTTAATTATTTTTTTCTGCACCTATTTAAAATCTTACGAAACCAAATGCAAATCAAAGCTAAACCTTCTTATGCTGACAATATCCCCGCATATCCGGGCATCAACGCTAATCGCAGCAAATGATAATCGCCGCCCTGTCATTCCGCACAAAATGGTAATTTCCTGTCGCCGATTCTCAAGCTTCGGGCTTTAAAAAATTTAACTCTTTTTTTTTGCATTTCATTCGATTTTATTGCGCATGCGTGGCGCGCAGCAAGCTTCTGTTGGGGCCCTTTAGCTTTTGTTTTTTCTTTGCTGCTGCTCGCGTCTGTCGCGCGTTTGGCGTGCCAAGCATGCGCACACATATTCAATTACACGGCAGCAACATCGCCAACCCAGCAGCAACATCAACAGCACAGCAGCAGCAGCAGCGATTATAGCGATGCATTGACAATAAGCCAACCCCGTTGCGTGCCCAAATGGTTGCCCCTATTTAATAAAAAAGAAAAAACAACAGAGAGCTGGCCATGTGCAGCTCGAAAAATTTTCTCACAGTCGCCAGAAAATTGTAACGGCTTGTTGTTCAGCACACTCTCAGCACGCAGCGTACACACACTTCCTGCCAGACCAACAACAACAGCAGCGCTGCTGTTCTTCAAACCGGCCACGTATATTGTTTATATAGTTAACGAATGCGATACATTTAATCTTTAGTGTGTGTCAATTTGCCGTACAGTCATTTAGTTTGCATGTCCCTCGTCGATCCATCGAACCATCCCTTTTCTGGGTCCCACGATGATGATGTCCCGACGTGAGCAGGAATACCATACGCGTATATGTATGCCACTTAGCGCAGTACGAACCGATCCGATCCCCGGGCCCAAGTGTTCAACAGAAGCTACAATTCAGCATTCATAATTGACAACAGCAGGAGAGAGGGAGAGGGCAGCTATAGGGCCCACGATGGACAAGAAAAAATTAAATAAAATAAAGGGCAGGTGGTAGTTTTTTCAGTCCTACCCGTGACTCGCACAAGCATCTCGGTCAGATTTACAGTGGTTCAAATAGAGTTCAAAATCGGCATAAAATTGCTAAGGGGTGACAAATTTTTTTTTTTTTTAATTTTAACGAAATTGTATTTCCATTAATTTTCCATTTCTCAGTTTTGTGGAAATTCTTAAATACCAAAATGTTTCTCATCGCTTCACACATCAATGTACAGAAAACCCCTCAGATTATACTGCATTAGCATTCACGAACCGTATATTTTTCCAAGATTCAGGTTCCCACACACCGTCACAGCAGCCGAAAATTATCCGTAGCAAGTACAAAACTGGACACGGAAATCCGTAAAATTCAAAGTACCAAACCTACATGGAACACCTTCCGCAAAAAGTCCCTACGAATTTACAACAGCCCATAAATTCAGATTCCCACGCATCGAAAAATACTAGCAAGTAGAAGGCAGGCATCGAAAAATCCGTAAATTCGGAACCTGCAAATATACCTTTTACAAAGGTCCTAAAATTGCACACAACTCGGAAAACCCCTAGAACTGCATACCGAAAATTCTTATTCCCACGATCTCCAAGACAGTTTCTGAAATTAACCGTAGCAAGTAGTGAACAGGCCTCGAAAAATCCGTAAGTTAAAGATTCAAGACCTGCAAGAAATCCCTAAGAGAAGAGCCCTAAAACTGCACACATCCCTGATTTGGAAAATCCCATTTTCAACATACCAAAACTAACATTCCCACGATCGTTAAAAGCAAAATATACCCAGCAAGTAGATAACAGGATGCGTAAAATCCATAGTCCTTAATTTTCACGTAGGTGGAAAATCCTTGAAAACTTTATTCAACCAAGGCACCCACAAAAATTCCCGCATGTGTTTCATCGGTTTGGCCCACTGTGCCATGTGCATAAGGGCTCGAAACTCGGAGCTCGAGCTCGGGACTCGGGACTCGCACTACCTCCGATTATAACTTATAACACCAACGAGCGAGAAAAATCTTGTGGGAAACTTGAGGGCAAAGTGTTTCCCACGATTCGAATGTCAGTGGAAAGGAAAACAGAGAAGCAGCATGTGCAACCACCGTCGCACCACCACCACTGCACCATCGCATCTTCATCCCCTGCCAAGACTGACTTACAGCAAACACAGCTGTAGACGTTATAATAGGATTGAAAATGCGTTTTATTGCCCTTAGCAAAATATTTTAACTTTTAATTAAAAATTTTAAAATTAATACAGAGTAATCTCTTTTATGGTAAAGATATTTATGAAAAGGTTAAAAATAACTAACCTTAAACACACATTTTTTTAAACAGAATTTATCTTGTAAATTCTACATTACAAAATAAAATATATGTATTGTGCATGAAAAAGAATGTGTACATTATGAAATTATGACCCAAATATGTTAAGGAAATAAACTCAATTAAAATTCAATTTTTGAAATTTCACTTTTGGCTCAATTTCTTTGAAAAGATTTTAAAACTGAAGACATGAAGCCTGTTTACAAATATTTTAAAAAGTTTTATTACAAGAATCATATTTTTCTGAACCTAGCTGTGGTCCAAACTTGTTTGTGGAGAAAAACCCACCACCGAAAATGCAGGCGAGAGGATCGTGTCCCAATGACTGAGTGAGAGTAGTTTGCTCGGCAGGTGGTGGTTCTGGTTCTCCGGAGGCATTGCTACTCTCTTTTCTCTCTTTCTCCAAGCAGCGTGCGCTGAGCACGAGACGCTCTCGCGGCGGCACGTGCAGCTATAAAAGCAGCGGTAACCGGAGACGAGGGCAACATTTCCAACGCAATCGTTGTGCAGTCAACATCTCAGGATACACTCCTCCGAAAGGTCGAAGAAGTTCTTCAACAAGTCATTCTACAAGTTACCAAAACTCACAAACAAAAAACAATGGCCACCAAATACGAAATGTCCAAGACCTATCAGTACCGCAAGGTGATGAAGCCTTTGCTGGAGCGGAAGCGTCGTGCCAGGATCAACAAGTGCCTGGATGAACTCAAAGATCTGATGGCCGAGTGTGTTTCCCAGACGGGCGATTCCAAGTTCGAGAAGGCCGACATTCTGGAGGTCACCGTACAGCATCTCCGCAAGTTGAAGGAGTCGAAGAAGCAGGTTCCCGCTAATCCCGAGCAAAGTTTCCGTGCTGGCTATATCCGGGCAGCCAATGAAGTGTCCCGTGCTCTGGCCTCTCTTCCCCGAGTGGATGTGGCCTTTGGAACCACCCTGATGACCCATCTGGGCATGCGTCTCAACCAATTGGAGCAGCCGATGGAACAATCGCAGGCCGTCAACACGCCTCTTAGCATCATCTGCGGATCCAGCTCCACTTCCAGTTCCTGCTCCAGTGCCAGCTCCTGCTCCTCCATCAGTCCCGTCTCCAGTGGCTATGCCAGCGACAACGAATCCCTGCTCCAGATCAGCAGCCCCGGTCAGGTGTGGCGCCCCTGGTAGAGAGCAGATCTAAATAATCCCAGGACTGAATCCCCCGACGGGCAATCGAGCAATTGGAACCGCAGCTTTAGAAAATGCTTTAAAATGATCCTCATTTATTTGTTATGTTACCAAGTTTTAGGTTTCTAAGTTAAGTCTGTGATAGGGACGCTTTATTAACTTTTGTCTTAACTCAATCGAGCAGAAGTCTGTTTTTTACTCTACATATATACAAATGTTTACCAGCTAAGAGATCTCAAGTATACATCAAGAAAAACTACAAAATGAAAAGAAATACAAAACAAAATATGAAACGAAATTTAACAATTGTCTTAATACTTGGGGAAATCTTATTTTACAGCTCTCTCCAATAAGATACATTGGAAATTAATATTTCAAGAATATTTTCAATTGGAAAACAAAAGTACATCCTGCCAAATGGCTGATCGAAAATATTTCCCATATTTATTTATGTTAAAACAAGATGTTATTTCAATAAATCATATATGCTAAAGTCAAACAAACCAAATATTTAATACATACACGTTTTCATCCAATAAAACATAATTGTAGGGCGCACTTACTTATTTAATACATGTTTAAATAAATGGACTTTTTATAAATTATGTTCATTATCTTAAAACCCATCATTATTTTTAACGAGCAAAAATAATAACAAGTTCCAATTACAAGTTCAATGTAATAATAAAAACATGATGCCCTGATAAGCACTGAGTTATACAATTTTACAATTTTTTAATTTAGGTTTTGGATTAATTTCTGCAAGCCAAAGTAATCATTTAATACTCTTAATAGCTATTTTAAAACCTACTAATTTATTTTAAATATCTGTGGTAGAACACTTTATGAAACACTCTGTAATCCGTTGCTTATGTATCTAACCTTTTCATATCTATAAACATACTGTTGGAAAAATACATCATTGAACAATGACTATTCCAGGATGTTTCAGCAGATTGCAAGCCAATAAGATATTCTGTAGAAAGTCATTCCAACCTATAACATCTTAAATTGAAAGTGTTTGCACCCCTTATCAGTATATAATTAATAAAATATTCAAGAGACCGATAAAGGTAATACAGGTATGCTATTCCAAATTGCAGTTCGGAACACATCTAAGGTACTTATCCAGTAATACATCCCTCCCAGTATTTCCTTTGGAATTAATCAATCAAATATTACTATTGGCGGTTGCAAGAAAGGTCCAAGCATTTATGTCTTGTTAACCGCTAATTCTCAAAATACGGTATGAAGTGTAAACATGCCTCCCTTCACAATAATCAATGAAATGTTACATATTAATGGGCGTCTGAAGGTATCTCAAGATTTTTGCCCATCCCTTATTCATTTGAATTAGTCAAATCTTAGGGGGTTGCAAGGGAGGGATATAAATCCTATATGTATGCATTGTATTTCGTTAAGTTAAGTTAATGTCCTATTTAACATCTTGTTAACCTTTGACTTTCAAGTACTTTAAGAAGTGTGCATGTCGTGTGTCCTTTATAATTAATGAAATATTGGTTGATCGCTTTTTTAATGATTTAGATATATCAGGTAAGCACCCAGGTTCCTATCCTATTTTACATACTTTATACTATAGTAATATTAGATTACAAAGCACTTTAGATATTTCAAGATGTATATACCACTGACCGCTTGAATAAATAAGTCAATTAAAGCCACCTATTTCATCGCATTAATGAATTTTACATAGAGGTAATCTCAATACAACCATTAATTAACAGTCAATTAGCAATCTAATAATGGTTTAAGACAGTTTTGGTTTTTCAAGACTCTTATGTAACTATTATATTTAAATAATTAATTAAATATTAACACATACTTGGGTTGTTTCTGAAAGGTAAGTTTACCCTTCTACTTTAAATGTTTTTTATATTTAACTCCCTAAGATACTTATGAAGTGTGAACATCACCTAATCAACGAAACATTGCTTTCCACCTATTAAATGCCAATTAGGGGGTAGCAGGGAGTCAACGACATCCCAAAGGTAGGCATTCCGGCACATGGCTCACCCTGGGCAATAAGTACTCAACCTCAGCCACGAGTCAAGCACGCGGGGCACACTTTCTGCGCCCGTTTGACCCACGTCCCCCTGCCAACCAACCACCCATCGAAAACCGAACAACGATCGAGGAACAACCAAGGCGACCCGGCACGAAGCCAATATGCCACATCCACTAATTGTGTCCAATAAACACTCGTCGACGGGGCAGTGTGGGAACGGAAAGAGGAGATCTCGAGGTCGGAGATCGGGGCAGGAGTAGGTGCATTATGCCATCATCGTCTGCAGGCATTGATGAAACAATAAGCGAGTAGATGGCACGGCAGGATAACAATGGCAGGGCAGCCCACGCACAACCAGATCCCCACCTCCTCCTCTTCCCGATCCCATGTACCCATATATGAAGCAACTACCCATTCCAAGCGACAGGATGAGGCAGTGAAGTATGCATTAAGGATAATAACACCGGCCCAGAAAGCAATGCGAACAGCCAAAAACAGCGACAGCTGCAAAAATGTGCCCTGATCCTTAAACTCGAAAAAAAAAATGAGAAGCGGAGCGGAGCGAAGCATGTGGCCAAAAGGGAAAACAAACGAGAAAAAATTGTGTGAGAAACTTACTTTCAGCTCGGTTCCCACGCCACGAGCCACAAGTATTGTCCTCCGTCCTCCGAAATTGCAGCTGTTCCTTGCAAAAGAGACGGCATGAGCGGGCTTCAGCCCTGAGAGCAAAAGAGAGGGCAGCAAAGGTGCGTACCAGAGGGTGGATTTCAGGGCCCAGGGAGCGGTATAAAAGGGCAGGGCTCGTCTGAGCAGAATATCACTCACTATTCCGCCATCGAGCAGGCAACAACCAGCCAAAAGAGAAAATATTTAAACAATTTTTTAAAAATTCTTAAAAACTACGTAACGTACACAACCAATTCAAAAATGGAATACACCAGCAAGACCCAGATCTACCAGAAAGTGAAGAAGCCCCTTTTGGAGCGTCAGCGACGTGCCCGCATGAACAAGTGCCTGGACAACCTGAAAACACTTGTCGCCGAGCTCCGAGGCGATGATGGCATCCTGCGGATGGACAAGGCCGAGATGCTCGAGTCGGCGGTGATCTTCATGCGCCAGCAAAAGACCCAAAAGAAGGTGGTCCAGGAAGAGAAGTCCCTTCCCCTGGACAGCTTCAAGAATGGCTACATGAATGCCGTCAACGAGGTGTCACGTGTCATGGCCTCCACACCTGGCATGAGCGTCGACCTGGGCAAATCGGTGATGACTCACCTGGGCCGCATCTACAAGAACCTGCAGCAATTCCATGAGGCACAGAGCAGCCAGGAATCCCTCCAGATCTCCATGGACTGCTCTTCGTTGGACAAGGCGCCCCTCAGCCCCGCCTCCTCTGGATATCACAGCGACTGCGATAGCCCCGCCCCCTCACCACAGCCCATGGAACAGCAGCCCCTGTGGCGCCCTTGGTAAAAGGGATTAAGTGGCAGGAGGTGGAGTGGCAGGACCAACCAACAACGCATCTGTGATAGCCCAACTGTGATGGCAACAAAATAGCAAAATGAAAAACAATTAGCAAAACAAATATAAACCAATTTTAAACGAAAATCAAAACAGCTTATTTATTTGGGTTTTTTGGGAGGGGAAACAATTACCTTTCAGTCTTTATTTCAGCACTCCAGTTGGCAATTGGAATCCATTTTAGTACTTCCGAATAGAAAATATGAATTTACCGCACAATTTGAAAATGGGAAAAGGTAAACAAAATAGACCTTTTGTTTAAGCGGTTGAAAAATATTAGGTTCAAACTAAATTTAAATCAATTGATTAATACCGGATACTAAAAATTAAGTAAGGTAAAATCAAATTAGAATAAATAAACAGAATTGATTACAAGTTATTTTTATTTTTATCATTTAGCTACTCAAATTTATTTCAATTTAAAAACAATGAAATTATTTGGCACATGATTCATTTTAAATAAATAACGCCTTTAAAGGGTACTGATATTCTAAATCCTTAAAACGTAAATAGCGAAGAGAAAAATTAATTTTTAATATTATCATATGATGGGGCAAATCAGGATTCAAAATCCTTAAACCAGATAAGAGCCAGCCAACTCGCACCGAATACACTTAAAAATATGTATTTTTTTCTAAAATAACATATTTTTATTCTTCACCAAAAACAATTATGCATTTTAATATTTTATTTAGTGTCTTAATTCATATTCCCAATTTTGATTAATTGAACCTTTAAAGTCACTGGCGCGCCAGTTTTTGTCGGACCTTAATCCCAGGTAAAGAACAAACCATTAAAGCATTATTAAAGTATGTCTTTATTCGTATGAATCCAAAAATCTGTTTACTACCCTTATCTACTACCCAAACAGTTTATAACGGAATTGTAAAACAAAATGTTAATATATTAATTTCGGTCAGTGTAACTAGTTCGATTACACGTGCTATGCGGATCTTTTGCAACACTGGTACACGCAGCCCTGCGCCGCCGAAACGAGTGGGCCGCGATAACAGCCCCCGAACATATCGATAGGCGATAGCTTAAATTGCATACCTGAGACCGACGCGGTCTGTGTGTCGCGGATAGGAAAATAGGAAATTATAAATAGAAACGGGCAGTGCCGATGCCCCAAAAGCCCCTAATTGCCAACAGCCCCAAACGGCGACGATATCGAGTGCTACCGAGGTGAAAATCGGCGTGAAAAAAATTGTTGCAAAAATATATTGAGGCGAGAACGCCATTTACAAGCCGCGTTTGTACAGCGAGTGCGCGTGTAGTAGAGCCGGAGAGATAGAGAGAGCGTGAGTGTGTGTGTGTTTATGAGAGCGAGAGAGCGCCGCCGCCAAAGCTGCCCAACACATACACGAATGTCAGACACTTCGCGGTCGGTCGGCAGAAACGGCAATAATTTTATACGGGCGAAAAGTTACAAAAAATAATTTAACCACTTTTCCGTGTCAAAATCCCGATTAACTTCTAAAAACACAACAGTGCTGGCCGAGAGAAAGAGCAATTGCGGGCGATAAAACGTGCTAATCCGGGGGCATAAAACTGGTACTGCCATTATCTCGCTTTTTTTAATTGCTTTTGTTTATTTTTTGTATGGGACACAGTATAATTTTTCTTTTGCGATGCGCGTGTGTGTGTGTGATTTAGCCACTCGCTGGATTCTATGTATGTGCCCGTATCTAACGAGCAGAGTTGCCGCCTGTCGCCCAGAGCACGCAAATCACACTGCTTATATATTTTAATAAATTCAAAAAGGGTTAAATCAGTGCCAGCTAATTAAATAAACCTATAAGTAGGCAACCATGCTTTTAAATAAAAGTTCGGAAAAGTTTAAAAACTGCTGGGTGTATTTCAGCCAGCATGGCAACCCTGTTTAATTGCAGTCTGTCTGTATATGTTCGCATGTTGTTTGTGCGGAGTGTGCTGTTTTTACGAAAGAAAAGTGTAATATTTTTCCTGGATAAATCCCCTCCATTTCAACTGAACAATCGGAATTGTGCCCACGGAGGCTCCCGAAAGAACAGTGATTTTGCGTAACAATTTCTGGGCCACATGCAACTGTGCGCTTGATTTTTCGGCGGTAAACACTCACACTCGTACCCTCGCTCCCGTTTCCTGCGCTAGTATGTGTGTGTCTCGCTGGCTCCGCGTGCCTGTGTGTGTGTATGTACGTGCGTGCAAACGTATCGAAAAAAATGGTGCAAAAATATGAAAAAGCATAACTAAGCAAATATGTTGTAAAATTCCATTCGCAGGATATGCAAAATGCGAAGTAGCCCAAGAATGGATTGCCACTAAGTGCCGGTTCCGCCTGCGGAAAAAATAATATTAAAGTGAAACTGCCATCGAAAATATAAGTAAGGAAGGAAAAAAAAAAAACAAGAGCCATAAAACTCTGGCAAAAAGAAAATACATATAGCCATCGTTTGAGAGGAGTTATCAAGTGGAGTGGAGTGTTCAAGGATAACCGGAGAGAAGGGGAGCAGCAGGACTTCCGCTCCGGGAAATCGGTGTCCACCTCGGAACTATCGCTATTGTTCTAGCCGGCAACATACCAGCCTAACAACAACATGTATCCCTCACCGGTGCGCCACCCCGCCGCCGGGGTAAGTTCTCCCGATCAATGGGTCCAATTTCTGGCCCCCAGATCCGTGCTAATTGTGTCTCTGTCTCTCTCTCCTCCGCCACCGCGCCATGTTTCCGCCCACCCTTTTGACCACGCACCAATCCCCATCCTGGCAGGGACCACCTCCTCAGGGTCCAATCAAGTTCACCATCGCCGACACACTGGAACGGATCAAGGAGGAGTTTAACTTCCTGCAGGGGCAGTACCACAGGCAAGTATCAGAACAAGCACAAAGTGTGATTTAAAAAAAAAAGATATTTTTACTCAAGAAGTAAACATGTTTTGAAAACTTTTGAACAGGCTAAGTTAAAAAAGTATACAAATGATACAAAAAAAAATTAAAGTAAATTTACATGTGCATGCTATTCTCATAAATTGAATATCTCAGAGATATAAAAGTACAATTTTTAATCTCTTCGTCTATTTTTCAAGATTAGTATTAAATGCATACAATTACCACAATAAATTAATTAATGTCAAAAACAACACCTGCATAGGGCTTATAAAGTAATGAAAGTTCATGAAAAAGATAAAGTTTTTGTTTCAACAAAATAACATTTTAACAGAAACCTAAATTATATTTTCGATTAAAGATTAAAAATATATTTTTCTGCCGAACACGTTATCACTTAATCTGTCTGTAATCCACGAAATTTGTTAAAAACTAAGGCAGATAAATGATAGAAATGTTCAGTGGCAAGTATATTTTCTGTCATCGTTTTCTCGAAACCATTAAAATGACATTAGAGTTATTACTGCCCAGAACGTAAGGCCTAATCAGGTTGAGGTTAAAAGAAACCTATTAGAACCTTCTACAATAACATGCCCAAAAGAAATCACATTTTAAAGCCTTCGCTGTACCGCCTTCGTATGGAATTGTGCATGTGTGAGTGTGGATGCTGCGTCTGCGTTTTGCGAAAAGTAAAACAAAAAGCTGAGCAAACCGGTTTGGCGCGCCATATGCGCCGCTGTCATAGGATTAACCTGCGCCGTCTCTGCCGCAACTCCACGCTCCACAAACGCCGCTTCCTTGCGTTCAGTTCGCTTCCGTCGCCCAACTAATTTGCCCGTTGATCGCTTTTCCTGTGAATTCCAGCATTAAATTGGAGTGCGAGAAGCTGTCGAACGAGAAGACGGAGATGCAGCGCCATTATGTTATGGTAAGTCAGCATCATCCGTAAATTAACGAAGTCCCTTTAGCTAATGCTTTGCTTTGCTTTCTGCAGTACTACGAGATGTCCTATGGCCTTAACGTGGAGATGCACAAACAAACTGAGATCGCCAAGCGGCTGAACACACTGATTAACCAGCTACTTCCATTCCTTCAGGCCGACCACCAGCAGCAAGTGCTGCAGGCGGTGGAGCGGGCGAAGCAGGTTACCATGCAGGAGCTCAACCTGATCATTGGGGTAAGTGCATCGAGATCAGACGATGGATCCCGCGGCAACAGCAGCAGCAACACGGGCATTGCCGGTTAAACCATTCTTAGCTAGAGTCGAAAAGAGCAGGGCGGACTGGGAACTCGGTTGCCACTTGGAGAAGTTCAAAACAGAAATTCAATGTTTTTCAATTATTGTGTCAATGAGTAAAAATAACTAAACAAAGTATATTTAAAAAGACATCTAAAACATATATTTTGTAAATGGGAGATATAAAAACCTTACTTATTTAATTTATTTGCAATCTTTTTTATCCAGACTAACCACTTTTCTAAACCTCTAAAAATCTCTAGATTTGTTAACGAATTTATGTAAAAATCGTTTCCTACAAGGGGCAAGCGTTCATGGGGTGTATACTTTTAGTTTAGTTTCCTCCTTGGGCTACATTTGATTTGAGTTTGTTTTTCTACTTCCTAATTTGTTATGATTTCGCATTCGACCAATTCAAACCAAACAACGTTGTGCAGCATCAGCAGCAACATGGAATACAGCAACTTTTAGTAAGTTTCTTTCGTTGCAAGTTAATTTTCTTATTGTTTGTTTACTGTTGCCGTCTGCCGCTGCATCCGCCGAATGTGCCACCGCCACAACTACAACTACAGCTAAAGTTGCCTCACTCCCTCTTGTTCCTTCTCTGATTGTCCATATTTATATTGTTTCAATAACTCTTTAAACGCCGCCAAATTGTTGTTGCTGTTCTTATTAACCCTATATGGTCTTTGGTTGTGATTTGAAGACAAAATTGTGGATGAACCATTAGGGCTTAAAAATATTTAAAATTTATAAAGAAGGTCTGGAGAAACTTTAAATTATAATAATTGATGTGATTTTTTATTGAATATAATCAAGATTGATAAAATCCAAAATATTGTATAATTAAATAGATTCTAAAGGCAAGATATCGAACGATTTTAATGGAAGTGGTCACTATTTAAAAGCAAAATAATAATATTTCATTGTGGCAAAGACCATTTAGTGTTAGTGTTGTTGTTGTGTTCACACACATACACATATTTCAATGCTTTCATTTTCTCAATAAGCACGATGTTCATTTTGAAAGCCACCATCGCCCACGCCCGATTTCATGCGATTTTATGGTTCCATTGCAGCAACAGATCCACGCCCAGCAGGTGCCGGGCGGACCTCCACAGCCAATGGGTGCACTGAATCCATTTGGCGCCCTGGGCGCCACCATGGGCCTGCCACACGGACCGCAGGGTCTGCTTAACAAACCGCCCGAACACCACAGGCCGGACATCAAGCCTACGGGCTTGGAGGGGCCAGCAGCCGCCGAGGAGCGACTGGTAAGTACCCCCAGATCATAATTCTGCATAATTGGAGCTCATTTTAATGCTGATGTTGCAGCGCAATTCGGTTTCGCCTGCCGATCGTGAGAAGTATCGCACACGCTCGCCGCTGGACATCGAGAACGACTCGAAGCGTCGAAAAGATGAGAAACTGCAAGTGAGTATCCAGCTTATTTCGGTGTTAGCATTATACACTGGTAGTATTATCCATCATCGCGTTGACATAACCGATAACTGTCATCTCATCTGAGCTGTTGCTGTCTCTCAACTCACCAAAAAAAAACCCGTAGTCTATCCATTGTTGTTGTCTAATTCTGCTAACACTCTCCCGAATCATGCTAAACAAAACCTATATTGCTAATTTATAAGAGACAGGACAGACATTACCTTAAACAAAACATCACGATTTAGGGGTGCCTGTTCCGGTTTTCACTTTCTTGTAATTAGTTTGATAAGGCTTCAAGTGTTTCTGAAAATATAACAAATAAAGTTTTAATTTGCTAAAATGGTTTGTATAACCTTGAAATTGCTTCCATACTAGTGAATTAATGTAATGTATAACATTTGAAGTTACTTATAAAAAAATATTAAATTTTGTATCATTCAAATGATCAAGTTTTTATAAATTTATTTATAACTTTCTTTAAAAGTGTCAATTAAATTAACTTAGGAATTTATAAATGTTGGTTTATATATTAACTCCTCATAAAAAACGTAGAAGGTACCTCCATATCGATTAGCAAAGCGGCTGAAATTCAATTTAACTTACAAAAACTAATTAAATTATTTAATTTAGATTAATTAGCTTATCAGAGCAACTTATATGCAAAAGTTCGTTTACATTTTCTTTTTATAACAAACAAAACAAGTGAGAACCAGAACCGGCTAAACACTTAGCTACTAACTATTGCTATTATGGTTGTTGTTATTGCTGTTGTTCCTTGTGGGTTTTTGTATGAATTTTGATTTATATTGTTTTTGTATTTTTTTCAAAATTATTTCCAGGAGGATGAAGGCGAGAAAAGCGATCAAGATTTAGTCGTAGATGTTGCAAATGAAATGGTGAGTTGAGTGTCGGCCCAGATTCAATGCAACCATTCCCAAATTACCCCGAAAAAAAAATTAAAACCAAAACCACACCTTTGCTATTCTGTTTACCCTCTTTGAAATTAATTCTTAATCCATGCGTGTGCCTTGCAGGAATCCCACTCACCGCGCCCCAACGGCGAGCACGTGTCTATGGAGGTCCGAGATCGGGAAAGTTTGAATGGTGAACGCCTGGAGAAGCCCAGCAGTAGTGGCATTAAGCAGGAACGTCCGCCCTCTCGCTCCGGCTCCAGTTCTTCACGTTCCACACCCAGCCTCAAGACAAAAGATGTACGAATTATCTAAAACTACTCGATAGCGCATTGGTATTAATCAAGATTCAACCGTTTAGATGGAAAAGCCGGGCACACCGGGGGCAAAGGCACGCACACCGACACCGAACGCCGCTGCTCCGGCGCCAGGCGTTAATCCTAAACAAATGATGCCGCAGGGACCACCGCCAGCCGGATATCCGGGGGCACCGTATCAGCGGCCGGCCGATCCCTACCAGCGTCCACCGTCGGATCCAGCCTATGGACGACCACCACCAATGCCGTACGATCCGCACGCGCATGTGCGAACCAATGGCATTCCACATCCCTCGGCCCTGACGGGTGGAAAGCCGTAAGTTCTTTTGTTTACTCTGAAAATTGTTGATTTTCAAACCATAGACAATATTAAGGAATTTTAAATTCAGCTAGTCACATGTAAAAACAAGGGTTTTCAGTTTATTTGTCAAGTTTTTTAATTAAGCCGTATATAAAGTTGTTGAAGGATGAGTCAAAAAACATCTGAAATTTGGATTAGCTGAGCTTTGAATTCGAATTCCCAACCCGAGATTTATTAAATTTAATAAGTAAGATTAGCATTTCTGGAAATCGCAATAAAGATTAGCCCAGCCGAGTGCCTATCATTCCAGTCTAAAACTGCTAATGGGTCAGTTGCTCTCGATTGCTCTTCGTAAATACGTGGTCTCGAATAAAAGTGGTATGGACCAATGTGTTCCATTTTTGTCTAAAATTTCTAACCCATTTTTTTTTTTTTGATTCAATTAATTCCAACTTAAAGAAATTACATAAACGAGAAACGTATCTTCCATAAAAATAATTTAAGTTATCTAACATTAAGTTAAGGTTGTTAGACATGATACCGGATTTAAAAGATAACTAATTAATACTTTATATATCTGACAGTGCGTACTCTTTCCATATGAACGGAGAGGGTAGCCTACAGCCGGTGCCGTTCCCGCCGGATGCGCTGGTGGGCGTTGGGATTCCCCGGCACGCCCGTCAGATCAACACGCTGTCGCACGGAGAGGTCGTCTGCGCGGTAACCATCTCCAATCCCACAAAGTACGTGTACACGGGCGGCAAGGGCTGCGTCAAGGTGTGGGACATCTCGCAGCCGGGAAACAAGAATCCCGTCAGCCAGCTGGATTGCCTGCAGCGCGACAACTACATCCGCTCGGTGAAGCTGCTGCCCGACGGCCGTACGCTGATCGTGGGTGGCGAGGCGTCCAACCTGTCCATCTGGGACCTGGCCAGCCCGACGCCCCGCATTAAGGCCGAACTGACCTCGGCGGCGCCCGCGTGCTACGCCCTGGCCATCAGCCCTGACTCGAAGGTGTGCTTCTCGTGCTGCAGCGACGGCAACATTGCCGTGTGGGACCTGCACAACGAGATCTTGGTGCGCCAGTTCCAGGGCCACACCGACGGCGCCTCGTGCATCGACATAAGTCCCGACGGCTCAAGGCTGTGGACGGGCGGCCTGGACAACACGGTTCGCTCCTGGGATCTGCGCGAGGGTCGCCAGCTCCAACAGCACGACTTCAGCTCTCAAATATTCTCGCTCGGCTACTGTCCCACAGGTACGGAAAATCATTTAGTAATTGGTTTTTGTCTTTTTAAACAAACCATATTCAGAATGACCAGCAGTCGTAAATTAAAAAAAAAAAGAAACAAAATTTGATTTTATGATTAATTTAATATGGGCAGACCTAATTGAGTACTAGCAAATCATACATGTTTGCTTAAATACCATTAACACTTTTTTATCCTTCAGGCGACTGGCTGGCTGTGGGAATGGAGAACTCGCATGTAGAGGTGCTACACGCATCGAAACCGGACAAGTATCAACTGCATCTGCACGAGAGCTGCGTTCTGTCGCTGCGCTTTGCCGCCTGCGGCAAATGGTTCGTTTCCACCGGCAAAGACAACCTCCTAAACGCATGGCGAACACCATACGGTGCCAGCATATTCCAGGTAAGCTTATTAACTCATTTCAAAATAAACCAAAATTATAATACCTGATCTATTTCAGTCGAAGGAAACATCATCCGTACTTAGCTGCGACATATCAACTGACGACAAATACATTGTGACGGGTTCGGGCGATAAGAAGGCTACTGTCTACGAAGTTATTTATTAAATCCACAAAACCAAGCAGTTTTTTCATTTTGTAATAAGCTCGTATAGTTTTTATTACAACAAAAACAATTAACTACAACAAACAAAATGTTCGAAATCATGCAAGTAACAACAGAAAAACACCAGGCAGCATCGGCAGTAAAAACAACAAGAAAGGCATCAGTAGCAACGCATCAAAAAGCGAAGCAAAAATGAAAATTCTATAATATATATACAAAAAGGAAAAAACTAAAATTTTAAGCGTACTTGTAGCTACTAAGCCTAAGCTAAGTCCAATAAATAAAAACAAACCAACAAGTTGAACACACAAATTGCAAGTAAAAAAAAAAACCAAGTTGAAACAGAACCAGAGCGAAATAAAATGATAATGCATGCGAGCAACAGAAACGATTATGTTGTTAAATTAACAAATGAAACCAGAAACAGAAAACAGTCGGCGATACCTACCTACGTTCATCTTAACATAAAAACAAATAGAAGGATAAGTGGAATAGTCATTGCAATTGCAGGAGCGTTGAGATTATGATTACCAGCTGAGCAAATGAGTAAAATACGATGCGAGTGCTTTTAGTTTGTTTTATGTGAACGGTTTTTGTAATTTAGCTGACGAGTCAGGCAGCGAATGCAACAACAAATATTATATTTAAGTTGTCAGTTTCCTTACCCCAACTCCCCCGCACACACACAAAATACACAAAACATATTTGCATAAAAGAAGGTATATATATATAAATATAAATGAATATACTTAGTAAGCATTTTAGTTTAGAGTTTTACATTAATTAAACACGGAAACAACTTTTGAAACACTCGCATTGGGGGTCAGATAGTGCTCAGAGCAGTCGGCTTTTGCTTGTATGTAATTTGAAAATATTTAATGAGGAAAATGTGGAATTACTTGTGTGAATCAAACTCTTCAGAACCAACTGTAAAATCCTATATTTTGAGCAGCTAAACCCAACAAAAGCCGCATCAACAACCGAAACCGAAAAGTAGAACACAGCTAAATTGTTTAGTGTTTAGAGTATATATGAAAACGAATCGATTTATATATATTTACAATTATATATATAATGCGAACGGCGAAATTGTAATAAGCAAGAGATAGAGTGCAGCACACGCTTCGATTTTTAATTTTACAAATATTATTATTATTGTGGTTATATATGTATATAATTATATTATAAATAATTGAAGCAAAACGAAAAAATAAAAAATTATATGTAATCGAAAGTAAATCTCCAGGATATAGCTATTAAAATACATCTGTGGTGTAGACGCTTCGCTGGCGCGGCACAGGAGCACCTTGCTTGCGAGACATTTTCGTGTGCAATTCACGTAATCCTTCGCATTGGCGACCAGAAATCTGACGGAACTTTTCAATGGCAATGGGCAGCAGGTTGTCCACCAAAAAGATCTTGTTCTTCATAACAAAGTTGGGCTGTAAATATAAACGTTTTAAAAGTTATATGTTTAAGTTTTTATGAAACTTACATCCACAGCCATGTCGCTGGGTGGTTTTAACGAATGCTGGGCAACAAACAGTTCCTTTAGCAGGAGTTCCAGACTCTGCAGCAGGGTTTCGCACTTGGCCAGGCAACCACAGTGCTCGGTGAGCTGCAGAAAATGCCGGATAAAGACCACCGTCGACTGGGTAAGGTTCATCCAAGTGTCGCCCGTAGCCTGGGTTCGCACATCGATACCCAAGACATCCAGCTCCAAGAGTAGTCGCTTCAGATTCGACTTAGTCTGCAGGTTGTATGGTTGCCAACTCTCCTCAGTGCGTCCCACAGAATCCAGTAATCTCTCCTTGGACTCCTCGATCAGCGACTCAAGAGTGGTGCGCAGCAATCCCTCCAAGTGGTAGCTAATGTCTAGACCAATCTCCGTGAGCTTCGTCGAGGGCTTGCGGACTCGCTCAACGCACTTGGCCACCGTCTCCAGAGAGGTGCCTTTTGTCAGATAGTGTTTAATCAGCTGGCTGGCGAAATATTGCAGTTCGGCATTGCACCACACCACAAGAGCTGGAAGATTTGGTTAGTAGCAACAACATAAAATCAAAATGAAAATCAAAATGTGCTTTTATTTATTAAGAACATTTGTTGAATCAAGACTAAAATGGTTAACGGTTTCTAAGTTTCTAAATTTGAAAAGGCGCGGCTTTAAAGTTTAAAATTAACTTTAACTAAGATAATTGAAAGCTATTGCAGTCCTAAATTACGCTTTTGAAAGAAAGCTCAACGAAAACAAACGCCTAATGTTGTAAGTCATAATTAATTAGTCAGTTTAAATTCTTATCTTTGAAAAATTAAGGGAATAATCTGGTAAGTGATTTGGTCTTGAATCTGAAAAGGAATATGGGCGTGTCTTACCACTAACGCACGCCGGTTGCTGTTCAAAGGCTGTGAGGAAATCGCAGGCCACCTGCGTTAGATCACAGAAGAACAGCTCCGATATATCAGCATTATTTCGGCGTGCTTCCCGTTGTGCCACTCGCAAACTAACGGCGCAAACCTTTAGCAGATTGGCACTTGCCTGTCGGTAGCGCCCCATCTCGACGAGGATCTTCAACGGTCGCTTTGCAGCCCTCAGGGCAATTTGCAGATTGCGGTTGTGACTGTTCGACAACTCTTTCAGCAGGACATTGATCAACTTCAGTTCCTGCTGCTTAACCTTGCTCTCGATAGCGTCCGCTTGTGGGATCTTCTTTCTGTTCTCGTTGCGCATAAAGTCCTGGGTGCGCTTGATCAGCTCCTGGGCATCCTCAAAGTGCCGTTGCGCCACCAATGTTTGGATCTCCTCGCTGGCCGTGCTTAGCCACTCGGGCGTCTCATCCTCTAGAGACTTAGGCTCTCCGGGACTCAGAGGAGTGGTTTCCTTTTCCGGTGTAGATGTTTTAGACTGCTGCTTGACCCTGGTTGGAGGCTGTGGGGCCTGTCCTTTCTTAGGCTTCTTTTGCTGGTCAAAGCGAAAGGCCTCTTCGAGTTTTTCAATCCACTCAGTTTTCCCAGCAGCCGTGATGCTTTGGTAAATCTTGGATCCATCCGGGGTGATAATATTAATGGCATTTTTGACGCCATCCAAGTCTTTGATGTTGATGACGGCTATTTTCTTGGGATCATACTCGGTGAGGAAGTCCAAGCGCCTGTCAGACATAAACATACTATTACTTTTTGGAGTACATCAAGTAAATGTAACCCTACTTATCATGCTTCACTTTGCACACAATCAGCACATCATTAAATAGGAAAAAGAAAACACGCTGAATGGGCCGGTAGTCATTGGTATCCAATTCGATTAGGGCTCCCTCGTTGAGAAAGGTCTTGCCCTCGAGATTGCCATTGAATCCCTGCACCATTTCCTTGACAGCTCTTGTGGCATGGCTATTTTCCACATCCTCCGCCGCCGTCGAGCTCTCCACCTCCAAACTTTCCTGCTTTAGACGAGATGACGTCTTTCCATCCGTCATGGTGGCCAAGATGTTACGCTGTTCGATCAAGATGTGCGACAATTGGTACATTTCCGACTCGAGATCTGTGGTTGACATGGGATAATAATATTATTAGGAAATATTTACATACATATACACAATTAAGGGGCGTAACCTACGCGATATCTCCTTCGCCGTCTGAATAAACTCCATATAGTTTTTTTTGCATGTTTGCTTGAGAGTTGCGGCCGTAGTTTCGTTGTAAGCCTCGATTTCCTTTTTTCGCTGCTGCAAATCGGTGCCGCCCACGCATTCTCGCGTCAGGTCTTTGGTATCTAAAGAAAATATAATAATTGAGGTCAAATTAAAAAGAAAAATCCTATAAAAACTAACATTTCTCAACGCTAAACTTAGGATTGTCGAACTCCTTCATGATTGAAATGTAAACTAAAGCTGAAACCATTCACAACGAAATGCGCAATCAGCTGGAATCAAAAGTAAGGCGGACAAGACACACTTAAATGTTATGTTCTCACTAGAATTTACTTAAAAGAAACATTTATTTTCCTATTTCTACGAAACAATTTAAGCTTTCGACAACATTAGTTTCTACAATTCAAGAACTTGAAAATCTTTAAGAAAAAAAAAAAATTAAAAGTTAAGGTAGAAGTTAAGTTCACGCCAATTTATTAGGAAAGTAAAGTAGGTAAACATCAAAGAGACATATGGCTAATTAGTTTTTCCTTTTCCTTAAATTTTAATTAAAATTATTTTTTCTAATTTGGATTGTCAATGCATTGTCAACCTGTTGCTCCTGAGAATTCAGTTGAGAGAGAACGTCTTCAAAATAAGTGCACCGGTTCAGCTTCTTCCTTTTCGTCCATTACCATGTAAGCGTGAACACGCCTTGGCCACCTTAAAATCACACACCCTGTGCTTATTGTTTTGGTTGATGAGTAATCTTTGAGAAACTCCGTCATTCCTTCGTAATAAGATCTTGTAGTGCAAGAAATCCTTAAAAATGGACTGGCTATTCGGCAAGAAGATCAGCCCCGATGAAATGCTGCGCAAGAATCAGCGGGCGCTGAACAAAGCAATGCGAGATTTGGACCGCGAGCGGATGAAAATGGAGCAGCAGGAGAAGAAGATCATTGCGGACATCAAAAAGATGGCCAAGGAGGGTCAAATGGATGCCGTAAAGATCATGGCCAAGGATCTGGTCCGCACACGACGCTATGCGAAGAAATTCATGCTGATGAAGGCTAATATCCAGGCGGTATCCCTTAAAATCCAGACGCTCAAGTCGCAGAACACAATGGCACAGGCTATGAAGGGTAAATACATAGATGCGACTGATTCATTTGCTTATCATTTTGTAAAACCTTTTTCCCAGGTGTTACCAAGGCCATGCAAAACATGAACCGTCAGCTGAATCTCCCGCAAATCCAGAAGATCCTTCAGGACTTCGAGAAGCAATCGGAAATGATGGACATGAAGGAGGAGATGATCAACGATGCGATCGATGATGCGATGGAGGATGAAGGCGATGAGGAGGAGACGGATGCTGTGGTGTCCCAAGTGTTGGATGAACTGGGACTGCAATTGGGTGAACAACTGGGAGATCTTCCTTCTGCCTCAGGATCATTGTCCATTGCTGGAGGAGCTGGCGCCCAGAAAGCCCAGGCTGTGGCCGCCGGAGGAGTAGGAGGCGGTGGAGCAGCTGGCGGAGGAGGAGGCGCAGGAGGTGGTGGGGCAGGAGGCTCTGGAGCTTCCGGCGGCAGTGGCGCCTCATCGCCCATGTCTGATGCCGATGCGGATCTTCAGGCGCGCCTGGACAAGCTTCGCAAGGATTAAGATACTTCTAAGAACCACTGCCTGCCCATTTTATATAAGAGCCACTTCCCGTTTGTATCTCCCGAAAGCGAATGTTATATTAAAGAAGAATGCTTGTGTTTTCCGTTTCCTGCGTGTTTGAAAAATCGATGAGTAATTACCATTTACGAGCTATAATGGGAAGTACTAGTTGAAATATATTCGCAATACTTTATAGCTACATATCTACAAATTCGGTATTGTAAATGATTTTTTAGATTTCATTCCTGTCTGCAATAAAATTAAGCAAGAGAAATTTCAAAAATTATTTGATTGCAAAGCTAGAAATATAGAAAACTTCAAATTACAGATTTGTTTATCCGTTTTTTATTTTTGTTATTTTCTAGTTGAACTTATCTAGACATCCATGCACGAAAGAATTAATTTAATGCATTTATTTCTGTAAATGTGCAACTTTAACCAGGCGTTTAAAATCCTTATTTATCATTCCTTATCTCAACAATGAATAAGTAAGTACCTTTCCCATTTCTATTAAACAAACAAAAAGTAAAAATAACACTTAAACACACAACAGAGGCAAATATGTAAACAGGTTTTAAAAATTTTGTTACAATTGACTGTTTATTGCTTTAAACACTAATTTTCTCATTTTCTACAAAATAAAATAGTTCTCCTAAATAGAATACAGAAAATTCCAGCATCAAATACTTTTTCCTCAGTACTTTTTTAATTTACTAGATACAGAAAATGTGGTATACCTCTTTCCTTAATAATGTATTTCTTTTGCATGTATCTTGTACCTTATCTGGGTGAAAAAAAGTACCTTTTACATTACGAGTAACAAGCGTATATATTTGCAGGGTACAAATGAAGAGTAAAGATAGCATTACACACAGATCCGGAAAATAAGTAAGAAATTTAGAAACCGCTGGTTAGGAAGATCCGCTCAACCTCGCCAAACACCTGATCAGCCTCCGGACTGGCATCGATCCTCTTGACTTGCCCGGCGCTCTCGAAGAACTTGATGATGGGGAGCGAGTCGTTGTTGTACGTCTGAATACGCTTCTTTAGGCTCTCCATGTTGTCGTCCGTCCGGCCGGAACCGCTCTGACCACGACCCAAACACCGCTGAACGCATACATCCTCGCCGCAGTCGAAGAACAGGACAAACTGCATGTCCACCTTCTCGGACATCTGGCGATTCCAGCCGTCCAGATTATCCTGATTCCGAGGGAAGCCATCGATGAGGAATCGAGAATTTCCTGTAGCCTTCATGGCGTTCTCCAGCAGCGAACACGTGACCTCCACGGGTACAATTTTGCCATTTCGGATGTAATCCTCGATGAGGTTTCCGAATTCAGAGCCCTCCCGCGAACGTTCCTCTCGGAGGAGGTCTCCTGCTGACAGATGGGAAAACTGAAATCGGTCCACTATTTTGGAGCACTGGGTGCCTTTTCCGGCTCCTGGTCCGCCCAAAACGAATACAACCTTTGGCTTCTCCACGCTCATGATTCCGATTTTGTGAGGTGGTTGACTGGGGGTGGTGGTTATGGTCTGTTTGCTGGCCTTCGAATGTCGCAATAGCTGCTGCGTCAGCGTTATAGGTGCGAATCCGACTCCTGTTGACCTGCAATCGATGGCTACTGCTCTCAATGCCGTTTGCGCTAAAGCCCGCCACATTGACGACTGAACTCTGGCTAATTGAGTGCGGTGTTTGTGTGTAAAGAGCGCCGCATTGAGTACACCTCACCACTATTTTCCACTGGAAAAGTGAGACTATGTGACGTCACGCACAAGCGCAGCTGTTCGCAGAGCGTACATTTACTAACACTGACGGCGGTTTTAGCGGGAACGCACTTATTTGAATGGCAAGGAAGATCATTTTGGTACCGGGTTATTTCAAAGATTAGAATTACAGCGCACTAATTAATAATACAACTTGCTGTTTTCTTTTACAGCAAAATATGTCTAAGAATATATACATATACATTTTTATAACCAAGTTAAACGCACGAATCGATAGATTTTCCTCAGATAGCACAAAATAATTCAAACATTTTAGTAGACACAGCTTTGGTTTTTCATAATTTCCTTTAATTATAATGTAGATTACCCGTTAATGAAGCCTGCTAAATTAGCTGCGCCTGATTATTTTGTATCAAGTCAGCTACTAGTTGGTAAGGAATAATGTGCTGGGAGCCGGCTGTCATGTCAACCTCCTCATCATCGACGCCCACGATCACAGCGGGCACTGAAATGGTAAAAGACTTAAGATATATGTATATTATAGTGATATAATTTGTTACCTGCGACGTTCGCTTTAAGGAAGACATGGCTCATCAGGTTGGGAGTTACTATCCTCTGTTCGGCTTCTCCTCGCTGCTGATTGGGCATGTACTGGGTGGCAACCTTATGGAAGTACTCGTCCACATTACTGGCAAACTCCTGGGCGAACTTGGTCTCCTCCGGAGACAGGCGTTTGTCCTCCGGTTCACGACTCTCCTCCTGATTCAGAATGTGCTGCGTGAAGGTCTCGATTTTCTGGAGGCGACACCGCAGATAGCTGGCCATTATATATCGCACCCTCTCTAGTTCCATTGCGTGCACCACGGCCCGAAAATCATTCTTGTCCAGGTCGCGCATCTGCTCCTCCATGTGGGCCACTTGGGAGACCATCAGCTCCAGCATGTCCGTTTGACTGGGCAGGATCTCCGGGGCGCACATCTCGTTGATCCATGCTGTCTCCAGGATCTCCAGCACCTTAGAGTAATTGTGAAGTGTCTAGTTTGTACGGTCTTGATGGGATCTCTGAGCTGTATCTTACCTTTTGAGCTGTTATCTGTTCCATATCATCGTCATCCTCTTCCTCCAATCCTGCGCCGCCGCTTTCATCGTTTTCCATCTGTGTTTCGGGTACATCTTCAACATCCGACATGCTTTTAAGAAATATTGTTTATTTTGGTGTAGTTTTTGGCCCAATGGGTGCAAATGTTTGCGTCCCCTGGGAATGCCAAACAGTGTCACTTTCGGCGACTTAAGACACTGTTTCGAGTATTTAATAAAAATGGATTTCCATATGATTGAACTTAAAAAACGATAGTAATTTAACATATTTTTGATATATTAAATTAAAGATTCTCAGCTTTTTCATATTTACTTACCCCACATTTTAGTTACTCTCTGAGAATGACGAAAGGTGACACTTTCTGTGTTTTTCAACACTAGAACAGCACATGCGATGGCAGCCGCACAACAAACTGATTTCCAAAAGAATTTTCGCCTGATTGTGGAGAAGATCTTCAACCACTGGCAGGATCTGCGGCTGGCTGTGGAGCATGGAATGGGCGGGCGCAATGGCCAGCAGGTGGGTTTGATTCCACCCCCAAAACAGCATATATTCTAACCTAATCTCAATGCTCTGCCAGGTGGCCATAGAAATCATGGACTACACCTATCAGTACTGCGTGTCCAATGAGAATATCACCCAAGGCGAGCTGCAGGAGGTCGTGGAGGAGCTAATGGACCAGGAATTTAATACCCTGTGCGACGATGACTCTATCCCAGAGATTTGCCGTAATCTGCTGCGTTACAAGCTGTTAGCCCAGCAGAATCAGTATCCCCAAATCGAGGCGGAGCTGAGTAAACTTCCTGCGGGCAAGGAGTGGCTGCGTCCAGACGTGAAGATCACCTACACACCCGTTGAAGGAGACTCCTCCTCCGATGAGGACATGGACGAGGATGACGATGAGGATGATGAAATGGGACAGGAGGACGAAGAGGATGTTCCCAGCAGCAGTGGTAGAATGACCCGCTCACAGACACGCAAGCAGCAAGCCCAGGAATTCGTGGAACCCGAAGATGGCTGGACCACCGTGCGAAGAAAGTGATTTTCTTAGGGATTATTAAAAGCTTTTTAGTTTTTTAGTTGTAATACGCTGTATTTACTTCCTGGAGGTCAAGAAAACGTAGGGGTGCGATAGGAGCACGTGTCACAGGTTGGTGGAATGTCCTGCAAAGGTTGCAGCTCACTGGAGAAATCTTCTTCGATTGGGCTTCCTGGCATTCTCTGCCCTTTTGCAATTGCGACCAGGAGGTAAACTCAACTCCTTTGGGCAAAGCCAACTTGGGATCCACCACGGAGGCTATATCGTCTACATCCACTGTCATCGATAGATTGATGGCTGGATAGATGAGAAAGGCAAAGAACCAGGCGAAGACCAGCACCAGAAATGGCACAAACACAGCAAAATATTTGTCCGGCAGATACGAATGCAGGCCATATTCGACTGGCAGCAGGGCCCAAGCCACGTATATGAAAAACAGGACCGTAAACAGCATATAGAAGGCGAATCCGTAGACCGCCCTATGTGGAGTCGGAGCCGGACTGTGTTCCGGCATTATCCTCGCTCTCAGTAATTACTTTGTCTTCTTTGGAGTCTCCGAACTGCTTAATGGTGTCCTGGCAGAGAAGCAGGCACTCAAAGAAGGAGGTGATGGCCGTGCGCAAGCTTTTTACTTGGTCGGCTTGGAAATTAACCACCAGGACATCGCCATCCAAGCTCAAAGTTTTCTGCACGAAATTTCGGCGAGGTTCTTGGTCGACACTAAGCACTCTGTAGGCGATCTCAGCCAGCCGTGGCGTTTCAAACGGCACTCTTATTGTGCTGTTCGGAAAAATGTATTTAAATCAAGTTATTTAATTTGTTTGATAAGAAAACTTACGACTCATTTGGTTTATTTGCAATTTGTGGCATCGTTGACTTTTTAACCAATCTGCAGTGGCTCACATGTCTGGGAATACGGTGAATGGCAAAAGTGAAGAAGAAGCATATAACTCTTGTTTATGCTTCCCATAATCAGCTGTTTACAATAACAAATAAAGTTTCGGTTGAAACGGATTTTTGCAAAATTTAAATTAAATTGAAATGTGTATAACATATGTAATATAAGTCTCACTTTAAAGTGATTGATCTCCACATTTATTTACTAAGTTAACTTGTTAAAAACGATTTTGCAGGGACTATAGATTCAAATATTTATACACCTGTCTAGGAAAGATATCAGGATTCTTGTGGAGGCTTACGCTCCAAGAAAATGTTTTAATTAAAACTTGATTAAAACTTCTCCAGTTTGTAGTTTCTTTATTACAAAAAGCTGTCCAATATCAGAACTTCAAACGAATCCTTCGGGATGGTGGGTCAGGTTGTAGGTTTACTTCTTGGACTTGATAGCTCCCTTGGGGGCGGGCTTCTTGCCGGCGACCTTGGCTCCCGGCTTTCCGGCGGTTTTTCCCGCCGTTTTCTTGGCCACAGCCTTAACCGTCTTCTTCTCCACCACCTTCTTGACGGGCTTCACCAAAGCTTCCCGCTGGCTCTTCAGCGCCTTGACGATCTTCTGCTCCTCAATGAGGAAAGCACGTACGATCCTTTCGCGCAGGCAGGCGTGGCACAGGACTCCTCCGTAAGTCCTGGAAACGGTCTTCAAACGCTTGGACATCCTGGGACGCTCGCTGGGCCTGGAGGGCGTAATTCCGTGGAGCTTCTCCTTGCATTGACCACAACGCGGAACAGTGGGGTTCTTCTTCACGTACTGGTACACCAAACGGCCTCCGGGAGTACGAACACTGTAAACAAATGGGGAATACCTTAGTAATCTGGAAGATTTATAATAATAAATCTTACTCACATGCGCCTCTTGTTGGAGCGGGTGTTGTACGACAGACGTCGCCTCAAAGTCAAGCGCTGCACCATTTTGGGGCTGCTAATTCATCGCCCGGCAAAAATCAGAATTCCAAAACAATTTTATGGAAAAGATAAAGAAAACATTGGCGTAGTCGCGTTAGTAGATTGTAAAAACATAGTTGGCATATTTCTGCCGCATTATTCACGCTAGCTAAACGCTTTGCAGGGTTCGCTGGCAAGATGTACGCGGATTAAAGATATTAAAAATTTAAGTTTACGTACTTCTAGTAAAAAAACCAAAAGAGGGAAAAAGAAGAAGAGGCATGTAGGGATGGCAGTATCGTATCAACATTTTGCCGAACAATATGTTTACCCAGTTCACACTGGGCCACATTTTACCAATGCTAAAAATGGTCAAACGATAATGTAAAGCACTACAAAATAACGAACAACCATAAATTTATTATTTGTCATAACATTTTCGAACAAATATTATTTTTCATTTATATATCAAAGACCAGCTAAGTTTTTGACAATACAAGAATTAATTTGGCACTATTCTTTTTTAAATTTGAATTCAGTAAAGTGTGAATGTATTGCAGTACCATAAATAAATTGTACAACACTGTCCTTATAGAATATATCGATAGCCTGTTGATTATACCAATCTTCCATTCCTTAAACACGCGCTTATTTTGTAAATAAACGTAGGTTTCTTTGGTTTTTAACTAAAATCATGAGTTTTCTGAAACCCAAGACCCATATAGAAAAGGGCGATGTAGTGATATTGTATTTGAGCGTTAGTTCAATGCATGCCATCGAAGCGGTGCCGGAGATAGTAAACAAAAAGGGCGAAACTATTCCCCATATTTTTCAGACCAATTATGGTTCCCTGAAAGTGGAAAGTGAGTAGATGTTCTTGGGTTGTTGTCATTTTCTGATCGAATTCCTCATTCCAGATATTATAGGCGTGGAGTACGGAAGTCGTGTGGAACTATCCAAGGGTTGGGCAAATGTCCTTCAGCCTACTCCGGAGTTGTGGACCCAAACGCTGCCACATCGCACGCAGATTATTTATACCCCCGATATTAGCATGATTATCCATCAATTGGAGGTGCGACCAGGTGCGGTGGTCATTGAATCGGGCACAGGATCAGGATCTCTATCGCACTACTTTCTTAGAGCACTGAAACCCACGGGACACCTGCACACCTTCGATTTTCACGAAGCTCGAGCGGATCAGGCACGCGACGAATTCCGGCGTCATGGAATCGCCGATTTCGTCACCGTCTATCACCGGGATGTGTGCAATCTGGGATTCAGCGGGGAACTGGATGGAAAGGCCGATGCGGTCTTCTTGGATCTGCCCTCACCCGATCTCGCAGTGCCGCACGCCTTTAAGGCGTTGAAGCTGTCCGGTGAGTGGCCAACATCGCGTTGACAACTAGTTGTCAGCGCCCCTTTGCGGGCAATCCGGCAATCAGGCGGATATGTTGGGTTAGCAGTGATGCTAAGGGTACATTTATAAATAGCAAGGCTTGAGTACGAATTGCGGGCCGACCAGAATTTATAGGTTAAGGGTAAAGTTACTAAGAAAAAAGGACTCAGAATCTAAATTGTTAAAATTTTGCATATTATAATAATTTTATATATCTTTAGTGATAATAAGCCGTTAAGATAAGATGAGTTGAATGATTCTCCAAAATCTGATTATTCTTCATTAGATCAATAGAGGACATTTAAATACTGTGTTTAACCCTTTTTTAGATTGCAGTAAAAGTTACGGGCAAAATCGTTTAATTTAATAAATAGGGAAAAAAGGCGAATTATCAAAATGTATAACAGACAAATTATAAACACACAAATTTATTAAAGGTGTTTTAAATGTACTTAGTTAGGACAGCAGGTACAAAAACTACCTATGTAGTACCCATGTACCTATATCTCAGCACTGTCGGTCAGTCAGTCAGTTATCCATCCGGTGAGCCAAAGGTCCAGTCAGCTAGTCAGTCGGGCTGCCATTTCACCCTGTTTGACATTGAATGAGCCCGCTTTTGACACTTGATGTGGCCAAGGCAGGCTGACCGGGCGAGTTTGTCATTAATGGTAACTTCAATTGATGGTAACTTCAATTGTTCAGCAGGTTTGCACCGGACCTAGGTAACTACTGTATTGGAATTTTAAATAAAAAACGCTTGCAAATCAAGTATCAAAAAAGTATGAGAAAGCTGAGTAGAGAGATCCATATTTGTAAAATGTACTTTTCGGAACGATATCATTCTTCAATCCATAAAAAAAATCAGTTTATAAATGATGTTACTTTGCTAAAAAATAAGAAGATTATAGAATTTATACTCTCGATGCGTAAAAATAAATGAGAATGAGTTAATAACTCTGATTTTATTAAATCGTTTAGAATATTTTAAGAAATCAATCCAAAAATCTTGTGTAAACCGGATTTTCCCTTCTCTTTTTCCCCAGGTGGTCGTTTTTGTTCATTCTCGCCCTGCATTGAGCAGTCGCAACGCTGCATCCAGGAGCTGACCAAACTGGGCTTTAACGAGATTGTATCCTTGGAGGTGCTGCAGCAAGAGAACGTGGTCAAGACCCGAACGTTGCCCGTCATCGATCTGGAGTTCCTTAAATTACCCAAAACAGAAGAGACGGCGGCGGCAGCCGAAGAAACCAAAACGTCTAAGGAGGTGAAGAAGTACCTGACCTCAAGTAATCCCCAAACGCTGCCCGGTCACACGGGCTTCCTCACCTTCGCCACTTTGCCACCGAATATACCAAAGGCATGATGAATAAACTTGAATTTCTTTTTATTTGACCCACGATCCACGAGCTTCATCATTCGTCGTAGGAGTAAGAGTATGAAAACTCCTCAAAGAACTTGCGTTCGGTGGTCTTAACGAATCCGCAGTGGTAGCACCGCTGTTGCTTAACTTGCTCCTGGGTCTTGCGGTTCCAGGACTTCCTCTCCGGCGCCCAAGGAGTGCGCTGCTCAGGAATGGCCACCTCAGTACGCTCCGGGTTGCCGCTGCAAGTGGGACACCGACCCACGACAGTCGGTTTGGGCAGCATGCCGTAGATGACCGGTCCCGGTGGTTGTTTTCCGTAAATGGTCACGATTTCCGGGAGGCTTGAGTACGGACGGGTGGGAAAGAGTTTCTCGCGATTTAGAAAACTGAAATGATGAGGATGGAAATAAGTTGAAAAGATGAATAATTAAAAGCTAAATTTTGGTAAGCTTGCCATATTCTGAATATGAATAATTTAAATAGACTATAGATATGCTTGAAACAGTACTAAGGATTAAAAGTGATTCTAAAACCAAGTTTCCAACTTTGTAGGGATTCAGCAGAATACTTATAATAAGGACAATAAAAGAAGGTTGATTTGTGTTAGAATTGGAAATAAGTTGCTAAGGTAAAAAAAACGTGCGAAATAGAAAAGGTATTGGTTTTGTTCGATGTTATATTTGAATGTGAATTTACTGATCGTTAATTCTTAGTTATATACAAATAATTGCCAAAGTTTTTTAAAAGACAGCACAAAAAATATTTAAAACTATTGCTGGTTTTGAAACCAATTAAACTTGAACGGATTCGCTTAGATGGTAGTATATGTACGTTACTCACTTTGGCCGTGGCTCCAGCCAGAGGTTGTTGATGCGCTTGGTGCGCATGATGTCGCCCAGTTTCTGGAGGAGTCTTAGGTTCTCCCGCTCGATTTGCTGCTGCCGCTCCCGCTCGACCTGCTGTTTTTTCCACTTGCGCTGCACATGCTGGTGGGAGCGCGGCGAGTGGGTGTCGATGGCCGGGCGGGCGGACATGACCTTCTCGCGGTGCTGGGCGTATCTCAGCTGCTCCCATGGCTGCTGCAGCAATTTGTCGCGACGTGAGATCATCTTCGGTGGTTCGGTGGAGGACAAGTGATGATAGCCTAGCGGTTCCCTGTTTTGCTCAATCCACCACCTCAAATCACCTATGTTTGCCACAACAAACAAACAAGCGGGGTGTGTGTGTGCGTCCATAACAACCTTGCCAGGACAACGGACACTCGGCGAATGTTGCACCATCATGCTGGGATTAAGTTCAACAACCAAACAACCGAACAACCAAGAAGTCCAGGCGGCGGCCGCTTTGCTCAGCTGTCCGCCGAGTTGTCCATCCGCGCAGAGTGACATCTCCAGTGACTCTTGACTTGCAAATTTGCAGGCCACTGCCAGTGCGGTTGTTACATAATTCTGGGCCGCTTCTGCTGCTGCTGCTTGTTAGGTCCACCGGGATTTCTGTGTAGTAGCCGCTCTCTTCGAGAAACACCGGACTTTGGTGTGGCGGCAAAAGTTCCTTTCTTCTTTTTCAGCCGCTGTCGCTGCTGCAACTTATGTTGCTGCTGCTTATATGTCAACCGGCAACAACATGCAACCGGCAACAACTGGTTGCCGCCGTTCTAAATACTCCTCGTTTAGTGTTTTGATGGATGTTAAGTGCCAGCCTCATATTGAATTCAATCATTTTGCATCGATGGAAATGGGTTCTCGGTAGTCGTTCAGCTTTTCCTATTCTCCCTTCCAAGTACTTGTGGCTCGCTTTGATCCAGATATCCACCGTTGTTTTCCCTCCTCTTTGATTAGCTTAAAATATTAATGTTAATAATTAAGTTGTATAAAATCTTACGTATCGATTTGTTTTACTATTTTGGCCAGTCTTAATAAGTACAATTTTTGTAATTAATATTAATAATAATCAAGTGCTTAAAATACTTGCACTATTAATATATAAATATTAATTAGTTTTATTATTATTTGGACTTATGGCCCCTTTGCTATTTATTTGCACTTTTTCAAATGGAATTACCATTTTTGAGGTAAATTTAGATTAAGCCAATCCGTTCTGACATGCAATTTAGACTGGATTTGATAAGGGGTTCAACTGAATTTAATTTATGGTTCAATTGAATGAATTATTTGACATACAAAAATAAAACCGAGAATTGGCTTTGAACAGTCTTTCAATCTTTTTTTTTGTAGCTAGTTGCTTTTAAAAGAAAATAATTTTAGCATTTTTTCTTACTTTATATTGACTTTTAAGTTTTGATAAAATAATGAGAAATATCATGCATTTTTATAGACTTTGGACATCGCTGAAATAATTTGTTCGTTTCGTTATGGCTATTTACCTCTTTTATCTAGCCCCAATCGAATCTGAATTTTCCGCGATAATATCAGGTAACCAATGAAAACACTGTTGGTATTTATACAAACCCAACATTGGATTCAATCATTTTGCATCGTTTGAGGTGGGTTTCCAGTTGTTTTTCTTATGATTGCCCCCTGCAAACAAACCAACCACTTGCAATTCCCATCGATCCTGTCATAAACCCAGCTCGGCGCAATTGTTCTCGTTTGAAGTTGATTAGCCCCCCGTTGTTGCTTACAAAATGTGTCTATTGTGCCGGCCTGCATCGTATAACAGCAATGGTCCAGTGGATGGTGCGTGAGTTGGCAGTATTGGGGAAATTAAAAGGTCCAAGCCGCATTATTGACCAGTTAATTGGAAGATCGGTAATTCGATATCGACAGTGTTGCTTATCACAGCTCGCCTCGTTATGTTGGCCCATCCGGATTATCTTGTTTGATGAATCGACAACTGTAACGAATTTTCACTATTCAACTCCGGAGGGAGTCCATTGGGTCGGCGCTTTTCACCTTTGGCCGAAATCGCTGAACCGGCCGTTTGACTCGTCACTAAACACCTGCTTAGTTGTGCATAAATTTCATTTGGATATGATTATTTTTATTGAAAGTTTTTTTGCAAAATGGCATATAATTGTGCCGGCCTGGCTCTGTGGTCCCCACAAAACGGCTGTGTGTGTGTGAGTTAGCAGGGTGCAGCCTTACACCCGCCAGCAATATGGCCAGTTTCTCACCTTTAGAAGCCGGCCCCAAAGTCTCCGATAGCGAGGGACGAGCGCAAAATTGATGGCAGCCAGTGCCGCAATGTGGGCTGCAACGTGGTGATAATGTGGATACCCTTTACAGGTATATAATTTAATGAAAAGTTAGACTAACGAGGCACTTATTGCTAAATAATATATTTAGCTGTACCGTACAAAGTTGTCCTTTTTAAAAAAGAATAAAGGTTACTTGTCATTATCATTATTTGTTGCAAATATAAAATATTAATTATTTTTGTATCAGCTAACTAAAAATTTTATGTATTTGGAGTATATAAACGATACAATTTATGGATTCCTTTTTTTAGACTTTTAAATAAGAAGTGTATACAATTTATAAAATTAAAAAATGGTTAAGATTTGTTTGGCATGTGTACACATTTAAAAATAAGATTAGCATGTGAGAACATCATTTGTAAAATAAACTTAATTAGAAATTCATTACTGCGCTTTAGGAGCTATTATAAACTCTGTCTATAAATTTATTGATGTGAGCCCATTTACCCAATTTCGCAATTGACCCGATAAACCTGGCTTTATGTAGCGAACCCTATTGTTTTGGTTAGCACTCGCATTTCATACAAAGTGTATACAGAGAGTACTGGACCTTGGGTCCTGTCCATTTATTACAACATGAGCCGGCAACAGTCGAAAACTGCGATTTGCTGTCAGCTAATAATAATAATTTCGATATTGAAAATACGTTTTCTTAGTTAGGTACGACACTAAACGATTTCGCCCAGTCGTCGGCGGTGCAGCAGTGCTAAAAGTCAGGCAGGCCACAATGCCGGCACCACCGACAGCACCGCCAAATGCACCACCAACCTGAAGTTGACCGTTGGTGGGGGCGTGCTATTTGCTGCCGCTGCTTCTTCCACTCCGTCTACCCTTTTTTTGCGGACAGGTGGTGTGTGGTGTCGATGTTTTGGCCGGATCGTCGACTTTTGGCTCAGACTGTGTGTTGCCCATTGCCCGTTGGTGTTCAATATGAGCCACAATTGAGGCATTTAATCGAGCATCTCTTAACACGCCTTGGAATGTTGACTTATTATTGGCCCAGCCAGCCATTCGTACTCCCCCTCCGCAACCGTATCTGTATCTTTTGGTGTTGCCTGCAAAAGTATCTGTGGGTCCGCAAGTCTGCAGAGTCTGCAGTTGGCCATCCGTAGAGTCTTGCGTCGGTGTCAGGAGTCTGTAGTTACCTCACAGTAAAAGCGTTTATCATCATTAGACTCAATCTAAAGACGTTTTCGGCCAGGGTTATCATGTTGATTATGTTGTGTGAAAACAAATTACATTTCTTCCTGCCCTCTTGAGTTTTAGCACCACTTGCTGTGGTGGTTCTTTTTCCGCTGCTGGCTAATTACGTAGATGATCGCTGATTTCAATTGTGCTTATTGACAAACCAATTGGCCAAAGATGATTCTTTTTTTTGGTGAAAGGAAAGGCTTTTTCTCGTGCCGTGAGAAAAAACCGTGAAATCGAACAACAACAGAAAATATTTCCAATTTGCTAATGGCAATAATTGTTTCTACATTTTTTTCTTCAAGTACCAATACTTGGCTATAATTTTTTCTTTTATTTTTTTTATTTAGCTTTGCACAGCTGTGTTCTATATAGTTGCTGTTGTTGCAAGTGGCATTGCCTGCAGCTGCAACAACAACAGCAACATTGGCGGCACTAGCAACATACAACAGCAAGAATAACTGCTTTAGCAAGGTTAAGTTTGGCCCTGACTGCCTGTTTAATATTGGCCAACAAAAAGAGTTTTGCTTCAAAGTTATATTTAAATTTATAAAATTTAAGTTTATTACGCCATTTAAATAGAAAACAATCTTATAACATTATAACAAAAAACTAGTTACGGTCTTAAACA